ATTTATATATAGATATAGATATATACTGGTATATACATATTGTTTAATTTGATAATTTTAATAATCTGAATTCTTTTTAGTTTACCAGAAACTTCAAAATAAATTCTCACCCTGTACTGAAACCTGTTTCAGTGTCTCACTTCCACCAGCTGGTGAGACATGTGACGTCAATTTGAACCCCGCCCACTGGAACCGGTACTGAAAGCATAATGGAAACAAAGTGTACCGAGTCGAATAGAGCCATGCTGTACCGGTATTAAAGGTACGAATGGAAAAGGGGCATTAGAGCATGAGCTATATCGATATAGTCTCTTTCTATATCGCGTATGAAATTATTTTGATATTTTAAAAATATCGAGATATCGCCCAGCCCTATTTTCTAGCAAGCTAAGATGTGCCCTAACCGACTTCATTCAGTGACAGTATTCTTTTAGGGACACAAACCACCAGAAAAGCTACAGCTGAATTAGTTCCTAACTCTTACCGTAATGGCAATGCATCTCTGAAAAAACTGTGTAATTTTTGTTTTACTGAGCATTGGTCATTACTTATGACCAACAAGTAGCCTTAGGTAACAACCATAACAGAATTCATAACAGCCTTAGGTAATAATAGGATATACTGTACATAACTGGCAGCTTTGTTCTCAAGCTTAACTCAGTTTTTGTAAGTTTCTGAGGTATTCAGAATAAACTGAATAAAATTGTTTTGATTTTTGTGTATGGTGTCCCACTATCAAATCAATTGCTTTCCTAGTCTATCTAAATAATTTTATAATGCTCCTGTGATTATGTTGGGGCATTGTCATTTGAGGCAATGTAGTCCTGGGTAAAGAGCCAGATAGTTTTTTGTTTTTTTTTCTACAACTGATGTGATCCTGTTGAGAGTTGCAGCAAGCTGGCGCCTGTATTGGCCAATAGATGAGAGTTGGGGTACAACCAGAGAAAGTCCATGCATGCACAAGAAGATGCAAACTCTGAGCAGAAAGATCCAAGTTAAGTTTTGAAATCCATTACCTTCTTGCTGAAATGCAATGCTGACCAACTGCTCTACTGCGCAGCTCAGTTTATATAATGAACATAAAGAAAACTACTTGCCTTACCAGAAGAGATAGTGACACCAGATTCTCACTCTGAGGCCAGACCTTAAGGTCTCTCTGTGCCCATGGGCTGATGAGTTCAGTAAGGAACAGCTCAAATTAGTTAAAAATACCTTCCTGTGTAACTATCCTCTGAAGGAGGCATCATAAGTGTCGGAGTCTGTTGCACTGTGGATTGGGCTGTGACCAGAAGTTTCTCTTCAAATGGTTTGTCGATGTATATGTCTCTGTTCTCATTTTGGAAATGTGTATAAAACAAGCACTGAACTGTAAAAATGGAAGTTTGAGCCAGGTGTCATGGCTTTATATCTGTTTTTGTAGTACACATTCCAAACGTTTCATAATGTACTAGTATAATGTTGTTTGTTTTTGTTTTTCCTTCCAGCACTACAACTAGATTCGGACTCTGAGCCTGTGACAAGCATTCACTCATGTCCACTTTGTGGGGACTCATTTGATAACAGAACTGGGCAGTCCAACCACATACGAGGCCATCTGAAAAAGCTAGGAAGAAGTTTTTCTGAGAAGAGCAAGTCCCCAATAATTTTACTTCGTGAGCTGATGCGTGACAAAAAAGAGTTCCAACGAGCCATTCAGATCCTGGGAAGAAGACGGAACCATTTCCGTTATGGTGCTTCACCAAAGCTGTCAACCGTTAATCGCTTCACTTCTTCTCAGATGGGTTTCCCAAAAAATCATTCTGTTCCAAACCTTTGTACTGATACAAAACCACTGATTCCCACATTTTTTTTAGCAGCAAGTAAATCTGAAAATGAGCAACTGGATAAGCTGGATGTTAAAAACTCACTCTCAGGCACAACAGCCTTAATTGGGATTCTGAAGAGGAGAAGGTGCCAGGAAGACGCCAGACTCAAAGGATCCTCTCAAACATCAAGAAATGAGTTGACGGTTTCTTCAAACAGTGAGCACAGTTCAGGGTCAAGAGTTGCATCTTCACTGCCAACTTCAGGATCAGGTTGGTAACTTCTTCAGAAAAGTAAATGGAAAGGTTAATCTTTTGTCTTTTCAAATTTTACAACGTACAAAAGAATACTTTGATCTTGCTGGCATACAAATTTTTTTTTTGCAAAAGAAAACACATTATACAAACGATAATGAAGTACCGATGCATACTAAGTTACATTAAATTACATATTAAACATTTAAATATGGAAGAATTAACTTTTTTCCCTATTTATAAAAATAATAATAATACAGAGCAAGATATAAAGATAGCCAAAATTAACACAGGTCCAAATCAATAACAGTATTTTTCTTTAGTTACTATTCATAAAAAGTTGTTTTATTAGAGAAAACCAGTGTATGCATATTCTTCACTTTAGTCGTCAGCAGCAGTCTACATCACACTAATTTATGGAAATTAAGGACAATCGTCAAAACTTGTATTAGTAAAAAACATCGTTTTTGTTTGGGTTATAGAGACAGTCACATTTTTGAAAAACAGATTTATAAAAGCTGATTTAAAAAAAAAAATTTTGGTACATTTGGGAGTAACCATTTGAATACTGATAATCAAATTTTGTGTTGCTAACATGAGATGTCATCGACATATAATGATAGCCACAAAATATCTTCACATTGAGTTACCAATACAAAAAGACTACAGTGCATAATATTTTTTATGTGTAAAAGAAAAGTATAAGGCAAAAGAAGTATTTATTTTTTTCCATCATTTATTTATTGCACAAAGGCGCACATAAAGGCAGTATTTTTTTGTCTCCACAATGTTGAATCACATATAGACCATTGCAACCATAACAGATTCAGCTACACTTTCCATACGTGTCCTATGTGAATGTGGACATTTTGAAAATCTTTCTTCAGTGTGTGAAGGAAATCATAATGCTACTATATTTTTTAGTACTTGCCAAATGTTTTTCCTGCTATGTTCTGCAGCCCTTCCTTTCCTTCCTGCACTCAACTCTCTAGGTAACAAAATCTAGACTATCATGTACGCCTAGGATCGTGTTATTCCCACCTGGCCTTACTGTCACAAACTACATCATGATTCAGCTTTGTGCTAGGAAATCACATCATGATAGCAAATTTTTAAAGTAGATGTGGACACAATGGGGTTATAGCCCAGGCATGAGGACATTGTAACTAGTCCTGCCTCAAATTCCTCACAACCAAGCCATGCAGCCGTTTATGGGCCCCATGTCATAAATAAGCTGCTCCTATCCTCCATCCAGGACCTCAACAACCTGCCATCACAAAAATAGATAATCACAGCCTGGATACAAATGTTTTTGGAATCTCAAAATATTTAGAAACTGAACACACGTATTGGGGAGTCCACTACGCTGCTCAAGCTGCTGAAGCATTGGCGTTGTGACTGAATTTTTTTATGCCGTAGTGGAGTTGTCATCCAGTGTGAACAGTGACTCAGCAGAGCCTAGTTTCAGCCATTCTGATTTAATGTGTGTGTGTCTGTCTTTTACAGAAACTGGAGAATTCAAGAGGAAGATGTGCATTCATTGCAATGCTACTTTCGAGAGTGGAGTTAGCCTGTCCAATCATCTCCGAGCATATGCAAAAAGACAAAGGATGGCGCTACTCGAGGGAACTAGTGAGTTCTGTCACTAATGCTAGTATCACTAGGCTGCAATGTAGGAAACTAGTTGGTGACTTAAAATTGCAAGAAAGCAGGCAGATTTTCACTTGCAGTCACACTGAGTGTTTGCAACCAATGAGCTGTGCAGGTGTGTTTTGATATAAAAATCTTGATCTGTCATGTGCACGGCTAGCAAAACTATTTGAAGCTGTGCTAGGCTTTGTTTCCACCTCGGCAGCCATCCTGACATTTATTATTTAATATACTGAAGTACACTTTAGAAATGAAACATGCAGACTTGGACCTGTTTTTGTTTATATTCATTATCAATGTGGATTTTAGACTTGGAAATTCATGACTGTAATCTCAGGAGTGTTTTGTCAGAAGAGAGTTCCCATGCAGAAAACAGCTCTAATGCTCTAAATTTATAGAAACTAAATTGAGAAGGGTTTGAGACACCTGTGCCAACTCTGTGACTATTTTGATAGAAAATTTATTGCACAATTTTATTCCTTTGCAAATGCCATTTGTCAACTAGTTGCCACTGAGTGCAGCACAGTGAGATACTGACGATACACAAAGTGGTTATACAAGTGAAATTACATCAGTCACCATGGGCCTGTTCATAGTTGGTGTTAACCTGTGACCTGTCTGATTAGTACACCATCAGACATTGTTGAGTACATTTTTCACACAGTTGGTGTTCCCAAATGTGTATTGAGTCACAATTTTGACTTTTAGCTCAGTGTACCTGCACTGTCTGAAAAATATAAAAACACATAGCTAGGATTGTGTGATATGGCATAAAATTCATATCACGATATGTATTGTGAAGGGTGGCGATAACGATATATATCGTGATATGTTTTTGGTATAAAACTTGCTAAAAAAAAGCATAGGGTGTCCCTTTTACCATCATATATTTTGAATTAAGAAAATTCCACTACTAGGTCCAGAGAGTTTTTAAATAATAAACAAATCAAGTATTAGGCTTCTTTCTTGTGCAAAACAGTGCAAAAGATATCAAATGTAGTTTTAGCCTTATGTTTTAAACAAAATAATATGTTGTTAACTCTTAACAGTTTCCAGTCTTAAGAAATGAACAGCAACAGAGCAGCATGTTACACTGAAACACTTCACCCTCCAAACCTCTAGTGGGCGTCTCCTTCTGCTTTAATGGAGAGCTGACACAAAATGAGTCTGTGGCTTTGACCAGAGGGACTCGCAGTAAAATCCATAGATATAAACAACACAGCGTTCTTTTCACAGATCAGAGAGCAGGTTTCTCTAAAGCTGACCAACACTTACTTTAACTTTCGATGGGAAAAAAAAAAACATTTTGACGGAACACAGCGTTTTGCGCATGCGTCAGAATACGGCAACACTACGGCAAGCCAGCTGTAGTTAGCTTGTAGCTTCGCTACTTAGCTCTCGAAGAAAAGACTAACACCACTTTTGCACAGTTTTCAACTAAAAAAAAGTAACGATTAAACTGACAACTCTGATTTTACTTCAGACACAGCATTACTGCGGTTAGCCGGTAGAAGACAGATCTATATCGTAGGCTAAATTTCTATCGTTTCTACCGTATACCGTTTATATCGCGCATTCCTACACATAGCTTGATGTGACACACAGTCGTCTGTCCACTGTGCAAACGACAGGCCATCAGGATTTATTGTATACCGCAGATACATTTAGTGACAAGAACTGTACCCATAATGAAATATTAGCATGTTTGACGTGTTTGAAATTTGCAGTTACCATATTTTTCTTTGTATAAGTCGCTGTTTTTTTGCATAATTTACATGCTCTGCGACTTACAGGCCGAAGTGACATAGTGAAGTGACATATTTATGGATTTTTTCCCATATTTATAAACCATTTTTTGGCTGAGATATGAACGTTTTCATTCATTCGGACTGAAAAAATAAAATTGAGCAGTACCACTTTCAGCCATTTGATGGAAGGAGAGGAGTATTTGTATGGCATGCTGTTGTATCATGTAATAGGAAAACGTGGCTATAATGACAAATTCAAAAAAGTTCAAGACAAAAACAACTAGACTTTATTATACTTTACTTTATACTTTCTTTTTTTCCTTGAACTTTTTTGAATTGACCATGTCCTGCATGTCCTAGTCTCCCCACCTTGGTTCTGCTCGTTGCTTGGAACGACCGTCAATCCAGCTGCACTTACCCGGCGAAATGCAGCTAATTTGACCGTTAAAGTGCATTTATTAAGCAAATGTTAGACTGAGACACACCTTTGTTATACTTTCGAGCAAACAAATAATTGTTTAGGTGCTTTTCTTGTTCATATTTGGAGAAACAAGCCACGTTCTTTCTTCCTTTTCTCTTCTTCTGCACGTTCATGGAGCACCGAGGCAACGAACTATTTTTGAAATACAGCTGATTTGACCATTAAAGTACATTTTTTAAGCAGATGTTAGACGATACACACCTTTGCTATAATTTTGAGCAAACAAATAATTTTTTTAGGTGGTTATCTTCTTAAATTTTAAAGAAATGCTGCGGCTGGTCAAGCTGCGCATGCCCGCTTCGCAGCACCACAGCAGCGAAGCTATTTTTGAAATTCAGCTGATCAGACCATCAAAGTGCCTTTATTAAGCAAACGTTAGATTGATACACACTATGATATAATTTCAAGCAAACAAATAATTGTTTTTAAGTGTTAATTTTGTTAAAGTCCTTCCGTGCACGCTCCCGTAGCCGCCATTTGGTGGACCAACGGTTTTTGGCTCAACACCGGTCCACATTTCCAGGTTGTCAGCATTGACACATAACAAACGCAACGCGTCAGAAGTGACGCATAATAGATGCGACATATATGGCGAAGATACATATTTATGGATTTTTCCACTTTTTTAGACAAATATGGACTGATGTGACTTATAGGGCGGTGCGACGTGTACGGTGGAAATTACGGGTTTTTTTTTGTTTTTTTTTTACAAAAGAGGCAGTGGTAGCTCGGCAATGAGTGCCACAATCTTATAATCCTGAGTTTGCATGTTTGAGTCCAAGCTGAGTCAGAAAGGGCATCCGGTGTAAAACAATTGTCAAATCTTTTGTGCAAGTTCGCTCACTGTGCTGTGGTGACACTTGCAGAAGGGAGCAACCGAAAGAACTGCACAGCACTGAAACCCTGAGTCACTCCTACTCTTCACATTTGGTAAATTACACATCAGAGGCTTTCGTCACATAGCAGGTTTAGTGGCTTAAAGAGACAACTTCAGCTCTCATGAGGTTTCTGTGTTGCAAAATCCATTCAGTTTTTACCAGGATGTTTCATTATAGCAACCTGTGTTGCGCAACTAACCTTCTCTGGAACTAATTGGATCATACATTATAAATTACCGCTCCCTAACTAATCAGTTTTTTTTATAGACATTTGTATGCCAGCTTCAGTTTTCTACTTTTTGTTTTTCCCAGAAATTGTTCCATTTGACTTTAGCAAGCGTCTCATTTCTGAATGAGCTGTAGGCTGAATAATCCAGTCTGAAGAAAAACAACAAAACATGCTTATAATTAAAGGCAATGCATTTTTTAAAGGAATGCATTTGGCCCACCACCATCCATGCCAGAGTTTTAAAGTAAGATAATCTTTTCTTGAAAAGCTTTACCCTTTTTTTTTAAATTTTAACAAATAACATCATGCTTGATCAAACGCTACAGCTGAAGATCTTGCACAATCTGTGCTTTTATGAATGACTCTTAGCTTTGAACACATCAAATTTCAGGTCGTATCAGTAAAGTTCACTGAGATACTGTAGCTTTCCCCCCCAAGGGCCAATTATCTGTGTTGGCCATCTTCAATTGTGTTGACTCCAGATGTTAATCAGATGTGGATGTACATCCAGTGATGATATTCTAAGAGTTTTATTTAAACCGGTCTATTGATTCTCGACATATTTGCTAACAGTTAACACTCAGGGAATGTGTTATGAATGACTGTCAGCTACTGCCACACCAAACTTTAGCTCAATGTTTGTAAAATACACTGATGTGAAGCCAATTTTGTGTTTGTTAATGTAAATTAGCCGACAAGATAAAGGAAATTTACCACCCTCTTATCAAGCACACCTCTATAATGACAGTTCTCTCTTGTAAGTGAGTCCTCGTGACTCATTGAGACGAACCTGTGTAAATAAAGGTTGAATAATGAAGCATGGTGGTGTCAGCAGCATCCTGTGAGGATGTTTATCCATCAGTAGGGCCTGAGAAACACGTCAGAGTTGAAGGTAAGATTCTGGGTGGAGCAAAATACAGAGACATTCTTAAGTAAAAATGTATTTGACAAAACTGAAGAGACCTGATTGTGAAACTGCTGCAAAACTTGGCAACACAAGTTGGGGCTTAAATAAAAATCCACACACCATTTTACAGTTTGAGAGATTTTTAGAAGAAAAAAATAAACAAATTTTTCCACTGTTTAACTTCAATAATCTAAAGCAGGGGTTTCAAACCCACTTACAAAAGGGGGTCAAAATTAAAACCTTTTTCAAACTAAGGGCCAATTTCAGAATCTACATTAACTCAAGTTAGATACCCAACATCTTTTCTTGGTTGCAGGTTCCTCAACAAGAGTTTGATTGGTGTCAGTTGACATTTTCTGTTGCATTTTTGACATCATAATAAAAGATTACTGAAAAAAGTAAAGTGATAAAAGTATTTTACATTTAAAATAACATCTTGGGGCCAGATAAGATGTTAAGGAGGGCCACTTTTGGCCCCTGGGCCTTGAGTTTGGCACATATGATCTAAAGTATCTTTTTTTAGATTTATTGCTTTTTATCTAATTAAAAATCCAATTTAATTTCATGTTGAAATGCAACAAAATAGAAAACACATTAAGAAGGATGAATGTTTTTGCAAGGCACAGTAAATGTGGTACACTGGCTTTCTTCAAGATGGCTGTAAAGCTATTGATTTTTCTCTCAGACAATGCAAACACGCTCGGTCTTTGTGGTTCTACTGTCAGGCTTCATCACAGAGTCAGCACCTCTGCCTGATTAAATGTGGTTCCTTCCACATTTTGCTGTCTGCAATGTTACGCAGGCATCAAATAACAAGTGAACATATGGCGTCTGTTAAAAGTATTCACCCCCTTGGCTGTTTTATTCTTTAATTCTTGTCATAAATCATTCATGGTCAATATAATTTGGCCTTTTTGACAAAACAGAAATTTAAAAAGACTTTATCAACGTGAAATCGAATTTCTACAGATTAATGCCGATTAAATATAAAATAAGTGCATAAATGTTCACCCCCTTTACACTAACTGTCCTAATTCAACTCAGAAATATTATTTAAAGGTGTAAATCAGGGGATGGATACAAAAATCATTTCTAAGGCCCTAAACAACCCCAGTTCTGTTAAATCCATCATCACAAAATGAAATATGTGTAAATCTCCCAAGAGCAGGTGGTACACACACAAGATAAGTGAGAGAGGCCACCAGGACACCTGTGAGCACTCTGAAGGTTTCAGCAGGTGAGAAGAGAGACACAGATCATGCAACAACTGTTGTCCAGGTTCTTCACCAGTCTGACTTTTACGTGAGTGGCACAAAGAAATCCACTGTTGAAGAAAACACATTAAAACTGGACTAGTTTGCCAAACGGTGTCTAACTTCTATGTCCAAAATGCCACAGTGGTTCATGCAAACATTGTTTTTATAAACTTAAATGTTGCTGTTAAGTTTCACATTACTTAAATTAGGTGGTTATTTGTAAGCATGACTAGCAACAGAAGCAAAGTTTGTTTCTCTTTAAAAAAAAATCCCAACAGTCACAGATTTAACACTCAGGCGTTGAACCAGTTTTTAGACTTCTCAGCTTTGATTCAGGGGTCTCCAACCTGTGTGGAAAGCTCTAGAGTTGTATTTTGACTCAAACACATAAAGAACAGCATGAAACGCAGTCAGTCTGAAAGTTTTCTAAAGACAGCAACAATCCACTGTGGTCTTCGCTGCATTTAGGCCAGCTGTTGGTTTATCAATCGTCAGAATCAAACTCTTTCTTTAAATTGTTCGCTGAGCTTTCTAGAACAGATGAGCTATTAATTATTCATAACTTTTACACAGGACCTATATTAAAATGGTCGAACTATTTATTTCAAAGTGAAGTCCTGCAACGATCAGTGATTCTTGAAAAAAGCATGTTTCTACTGTACGTGCTTTCCTGACACATTTTGTTGATGTTAAAGCAAGACTCTGCTGCAATCTGTAGGTTTCTAAATGTACATTTTGTTTTTTTCAGCGATTCAGTGTAAAGCAGTGAGGCAACGTTCACGACCTGGCTTAAAGAAGAAGACACTGCCCTTAACCCAAACTCCAGAGGAAATGTACAGACTCACCTGCAGGTAATTTTTTGTTGTTTTATTTGTTTTGCTCTCATCTAAATAGTATGACAGAGTATTAGGGCCACGCAAAGAAAAAAAATTACATTACGAGAAAAAAGTCATGAAATTATGAGAATAAAGTCATAGTATTACAAGAATAAAGTTGTAATATTACGAGAATAAAGTCGTAATATTAACAGAATAAAGTTGTAATATTGACAGAATAAAGTCATAGTATTACGAGAATAGCGTTGTAATATTAACAGAATAAAGTTGTAATATTAACAATAAAGTCATGGTATTATGAGGATAAAGTTGTAATATTAACAGAATAAAGTTGTAATATTATCAGAATAAAGTTGTTATATTATCAGAATAAAGTCGCAATATTATCAACTCCGACACGAATAATCTTACAACTGCTGTAAAATGCTGAATGTTGAGCATCTTGTCAAGTTATACTTTGGTATTGGTTATACAAATAAGGAAATACTTAGTCTGTTAGCACATCATCATCAGATTATTAAAAGTGTCAGGACTTTGAACCGATTGTGCAAATGACCGTCTGTTTCGAAGAAAGAAGCACACAGATTTGGAAGATATTGCTTCTTTTGTGGAAGAGGAACTTCCTGGCAGTGGTCGACTGCAAGGCTTGTTGGTTACATGTGTGTCCCATTCAGAGGTTTGTTGTTTGTCAGCAGACAGTGAGGATGGTCAAGATTTTGGATCCAGTGGGAGATGAACTTCGGCAAGCACGGCGTCTCCGACGTCAGCAGTACAATAGCAGGGGCTCAACGCACTGTGGCATATGGATTCTTATGATAAACTGAAGCCGTATGGCATTATGAGTTTATTCTCGTAATATTATGACTTTATTCTTGTATTATTAACTTTATTCTCATAATACGACTTTGTTCTCGTAATATTGACTTTATTGTATTTCAACTTTATTCTCGTAATACGACTTTATTCTCGTAACTTCATGACTTTTTTCTCGTAAATTATTTTTTAACAGCGTGGCCCTAATACGCAGTCGTAAAATAGTAATTTCAGATTTAAGGTCCAGAAGTGTTTGACTTTTGTCCAACTTTGTTTACAGATGATCTGTGGCTGTTTGAGTAATTCACATTTATCATTCTTTGTCTCTTCAAAGGTTCTGTGACCTCGTCTTCCAGGGTCCACTGTCAGTCCAGGAGGATTGGATTAAACATTTACAGAGACACATTATGAGCACTGGTGTCCCTCACACTGGACTAGGCATGGTAGAGGTCACCTCAATGGCCACAAACCCCCCAATCCTCAAGAAGGATCATGACAGCTCTCTGACAGTCGCACAGGCTGCCTCATGAGGCCAGCGGGGAGCTTTTTTTAGATTTCACTAGACTGTATGTGTATGTACATTGGATGTTTGTTCACTTACTTTTGTTCTGTTAGGTCAATGAAATACTGACCAAAAGTACAATTTAGCTCAATGTTTTGGGCGTTGTGCATATTGGAATGTTTGGACAGTGAAAAGATTTGATTAATTTGGATATTGTTACCTCTGTGTTTTTACACGGCCCATTTTTATGAAATTGAGTACTTTTACCTCAGATGGCTTCATGGTTTTGGTCGACACTTGGAAGTACCTCCGTTCTGTACCAACTCACCTAAAACACACAACCATGTCTCCTTTGTACTGTAACATGATCCAATAAATGCCCAGTCTTGTATCAGGCCAGAGTCGCACACAGGAATAATTTTGGAAATAAAATGTCTGCAACTTTTTTTATGCATATAAAATGTTTTATAATATTTCAGTAATTGCATTGTTTCTAATACAAAAAAAAAAAAAAAGTTGTTTCAGGAAAAACTAATTATGCACACCCTGTGCTGATCTTACCATTCATACGTCACCTATATTTAATGTTTAAATATACTGTTTTGAAATAATTTAATTTGAAATGTACTATATCACACAGATACAAGGCGTAAAACGTTTGTGTTCTAAATAAAAAAATAAAAAAAACTTGGGACTTTTTTCTTACACTTTTGTCTTTTATTTAAAAAAAAAAACATTCTCAGTAAATTACAGATCAATATTTTTTTAACTATTATTTTATTGACACAAACACATGAGGATTGAGACTATCCATGAAGTTCTTCAGCTAAAGATGATGGAGACTCCAGCTCATTCAAATGGGGATCCACCCTGAAAAAAGGCAAGCGTTAGCTGTCAGATGCACGGTAAATTAAGATGTAGTTCAGCATATAAGTTTGACATAAATGCAACCTAATATATGCACAAACAAACAAATCATAAAACAAGCAAAATCAAGTTTCTTATGGAGCTACTGAAAGGTATTCTGTGACACAAGTAGCTGGGCTTCCTTTTCTTATCTTGAATTTAAAAATCCTAAAACTTTAGAAATGAGGACTGCTTCAGTCTCAGTCGTGTTTACGTGGAGGGTCGGGTTTCGTGAGTTTTGATGCTTTTTTTAAATTTTAAAATGCATCAATCATGAACATGCAGTGTTAAAAAAAAACACCAACTCCATTTGCCTGAGAGAGATGTTTGCCATAAAGAACAGCAGGTTACATTACTGCAAAGTGAAGAAAATTAAAATCTAGACTGGAAAACGTTAAACCAGGGCTATTCATGTAAACCGCTCAGGGGGCCACAGTTTCTAAAAGCCAGCAGCTCAGGGGCCGGACATCCAGTGATTAAATTCATTATGTAAATAAACCAAGTATTGCAATGATCTGTTGCCTTTTAAATTTGTTTTGTTGCATTGAATCATAAATGCAATAAACAGAACCCAAACCCACAATCCAAAAAAAAATAAAATTATTTTTTATGAACTCATTGGTGGTGCCGGACTGAATGAAGTCACCCGCAGGCTGGAAGTGACCAGCGGGCCGCAGGTTGAATAGGCCTGCGTTATACACTTGGAATGCCATTAACATGTAGGAAAGTGTTAATCATATAAATCAGTAAGTTAATACCTGCTGCTGTTCCAAGTCGGGACATTAAGACCAGAAACTTTTCACTCTATACGCCTCCGACCACCGTCCAATCGTGCCAATATTTGACTCGCAAATAAATACTGAAATCCAATATTCCCTGATGTACAAAAGTAAAAATGAAGTAAGTCTTATATTTGATGAACATCTAATTGAATTTGGACAAAATACCAGTTTATTGCCTTTTCTACATCAGTGTGATTTGTTTCTGACAGCTAGTACGCTAGTAGAAGTATTCAAGTAGAAAGTTTACTTATGTTTCATGAAACTTGTTGGAGACTACAAAACCTACATTTCACCATTAGAAAGTTATGTAGTTAAAAGATAATAAAAAAAACAGTGTGTTGAAATGAGAGAAGCTTTAGCTAACTAAAACATTAGGGACAAAATAAAGCAAAACCTTAAATTACCAGCCAGCTCATTGTTTAAAAATAATTTCAACAAAGAAAAAAAACTATGGAAGTTATGGGAAACATCACTAAAGATAACTACAAAGTAGGGATGCACAATATTGGATTTTTGGCCGATATCTGATATGTCTATAATCGATACCAATACCATTATTTCCCCCTACACCTACCTACAGAGACTACATGATTTTCTCTGCTGTGGAATTAAAATACATTATTCTGCATGGGCTTTGTCAGTTTGACCTGCTACCAAATGCAGAAAAGGGGACTGAAAATGATGCAACACTTCAACTTGGATTATGTTTAATGTCAAATTTATTCATGACATTTACTCTCTAACACAATGACAACACTCGAACGGTGCAAATTTGTACATTTTTACAAATCTATACTCAACCTGTTCACAAGCAACAAGTGAAAAGTGCATAAGTAGTAGTGCATTAATAGATATACTTGACAGTTTCTTAAATTAAATTTAACTTAAAACAAGCCTTTTATATCGGGTAGTTTTTTGATGGAATGGTCGATGTCCAATATTTAACTTTATCACGAATATCGGACGATACCGATACAATGCAATATCGTGCATCCCTACTCCAAAGTAAAACTTTCTTTACTGTGATAGTGCGCTAACAGCACCTGTCCACTACCAGTAACCTCACATCGGCAGAAGGCCGCAGATAGATCAAAGAAATCATCCGACATGCAGAACAAGACATCTCAAACATGCTAGAGCAATTACAGAAATTCACAGTAACCCAAACTGAACTTGTTGGTACTGAACGAAGAGCAAAACGTTTCCTAGGAGAAATGTTTATAACAGCTACAGCCCTTGGTACATTGAGGCTACATCTAGGCGTCTCATCTGTTAACACTGTTACTATTAAACACCACATGGGCGAACTACAACAAGAATTCCCTGAAATTCAAAAGCAACTACATCGACAAAAAGATCAACTACATTTTTAGGCAAAACTACCAGAAATATTGTGTTGGTACTAAACCATCACAGTGAGATACTGCGCAAAACAACGACTGCTTTGAACTCCCTGATTACGGTGGTCCATATAGATCATAATCACGCTCATTCATGTCTGACCTGACCCGGGAAGTTGAGTCAACCATTGACACCATTGCTATAGGTAGAATACCTCCATATTTAATCTCTCTAGACATGATCCAGAACATTTTGTCCGAAGCATCCGGGGAACTTGTAATTCCGTTACAGACTCACTTAGCATATGTTTCAGGAAGCTCGGTGTCCCTCAAAATCAAAGCCAGGAACCGTGAGATTGCGTTCATCAATTTCTTCATCAAAATAAATAAATAAAATAATTTCCATCATCGCTCCTGCGAATATTTACCGACTGAAAGATGTGGTAAATGTTGGAAAAGCATGTTTGAAGATATTTTGGAATCTCTGGTAGAATACCTTCAGGAAGTCTTCAAACTGTGGTTTAAGCTCCTTCAGCATCGTTTCTGCTTTGCCAAGGCAAGCATGTCTCTGCACCGCCTCAAACTCCTGAAAGAACACCAACAACAATCACATTCAGTAAATATTTCCTTACAGATATATACATATAAAAAACTGCTTTGTTCTTACCTTTGCTTTAGAGAGGTGTCCCTGAGAGGTAACGTGAATGTGCACATCAGCTGCAGATGTGGATACGTAGACTTTACAAGCTGCACAATGAAGCATTTCCACTTTTGTCATGTGATCCTTTTCCTGTAGAGCTGATGGAGGCCAGAACGAATTATTTGACTGAACTTACTGAAATAAAACTGTAGGTAACATTAGTTTTCTGAGCATTTTAATCTGTCAAATGCATTTACCTTGAAGTGCCTTCTCCTCCACTGCTTGGCTACAGTGGCGGCTTTTATACAGCATGACTTCCTGTTAGGAGAAAACAGCTGCCATCAGCCAGACGTTAACATCAGATCATATTCTATACATTTACTGGGCCCTGAAAAATGTCTTGATACCTCTTTAACTTGAAACATTTTGCCATGTTATAACCACAAACTAACGTGTTTTGCTGGGATTTTATAAGTTAATGCAAAGTAGTGCATAATGGTCAAGTAGAAGGAAAAATTATTGTGTTTTATTTTATTTACACAAAAAATCTGTAAAGTGTGGTGAGCGTTTGTTTTCAACCCCCCTGACGCAACACTTGATCCCATCTGCAAGTCTTTCAGGATCTGTCAGCAGCTTTTCACATCCAGAGGCTGAAATTTTGTCCATTCTTCTTTACAAAGTAGCTGCAGCTCAGATTGGTTGGAGAGCGTCTGTGAGCAGCAGGTTTCAAGTGTTGCCACAGATTCTCTCAGTTTGATTCAAGTCTGGACTTTGGTCTGTTTCAACATGAATATATTTTGATCTGAACCGTTCCGCTGTAGCTCTGCTGGAGGTTTTGGGTCGTTCTGCTGGAAGGAGAACCTCCACCTCAGTCTCAAGTCTTCAGCAGCCTTTAACAGGTTTTCTTCTAAGATAGCCCTAAATTTAGTTCCAACCGTCTTCCAATCAACTCTGACCCGTTTTCCTGTCCCTGCTGGGAAAAGCATCCCCACAGCATGATGCTGCCACCACCGTGTTTCACAGCATGACACTGCCACCACTAAGTTTCAGAGTGGGGATGGCGTGTTCAGGGTTATGTATTGAAGCCAAAAACGTTCAGTTTTGGTCTGATCTGAGCAGAACTCCTATTTCCATGTTTTTATTTTTCTTTCAACAAAAACTTTATTCTTGTCACTCGTCCATAAAGGACAGGTAATTGTCCTATGGACAGATTGTCCCCGAGCTGTGGATTTTTGCAGCTCCTCCAGAGTTACCATGAGCTTCATGGTCTCGTTGTCCGACCTGTTAGTTTATTTAGGTGGATGTTCATGTGTTGGTAGGTTTAGTAGCCAGACTTTTTCCATTTTCAAATGATGGATTGAACAGAG